ATCTCAGTAACATCTAGTATTTATCACTCTTTTTTCTTTCTGGATCCACCTCTGGTGATATCAGATGGTGACCAGTCTGGCCTTAGGCAGTCTGTTCAAGACTACCAGAGATCTACTGTCTGTGGCTGACTCCTTCAGTTGTTAACCTAGTCCCTCTGCAATCAGCAGTCAGGCTTAAGCTACACAGAGTGGGGCAGAGTATCTCCTGGGAGCAGCACTATTGCTTCCCCTCAGGCTGCTGCCACTCAGAAGGGTGTGGCCTGCCTGAGCAAGGTAGCTCCTGCTGTATGGGGGAATGACTCAGCACCAGGATCCTGACAGCTGCTCTCTCAGTGCTGTCCCCAAAGCCACCATCCCCAGTATCTCCTCAAGCATCTCTAGTCCACTCATCAGGAGAGTCGGGGCTCTCCTCCTTTGCCAGAGCCCAGGTTGAGTGGCTGCATAGGAAAATTGTGTTGGCCCTTTAAATGGCTCTTTGCAACTCCAGCTCTCCATCTCTGGCAGAGAGAAGCCCTGCCACTTTTCACAGCTGGATGTTATCTGTGTACTTTTCAGGCACTGGTACTGTAGTCTGGGGAGCCCAGCTTGGGTTTTAGACCCCGTGTTTCTCAAGGGGAACCCACGGTCACCGAGATATCCCTCCAGCACTTTTGCTGCCACTCATGGCACCCAGCCAGACATCTTATGTCTCTGCCACACTCCCTACCAGTAACATTGTGTTGGAGCTGTTTTCTCTGTCTGTCCATGACTATAAATCTTCTCTCCTGCTATTGGTCAGTTGTTTGTTATGGATGATTTCTCCACAATTTAACTGTAATTTCAGATTGGCCCTGGGAGGAGGTTAGTGTGACTTCCACTCACTCCTCTACCACCTTGGATCTTAATTGTTTTTCTTAAAAATTTTCTAGCCCTGGCCAGGTGGTTCAGTTGATTGAAGCATCATCCCATACACCAAAAGTTTGCAAGTTCGATCCACATTTGGGGCATATACAGGAGGCAACCAATTGATGTCTCCCTCTCTAAATAAATACATACATACATACGTACATACATTAAAATATCAAAAAAAAATCCTCAGGTGAGGATTAAAAGAAAAGGAAAAAGAAGCATTTTCTAAATTCTCAATGATTAGCACTGTGCCCAGTTAAATAAATGTTAGATTTAATTGAAGAGGTCTCCAACAGTACTTGAAGGCTCTGGTCTTTCCCAGTCCTGTCCTAACCCTGCTTTTCTGCAGTTCCCCACACACCCTGCCCTAACACACACACTCAAAACTGTGTCAGAGAAGAAATTTCATCTTCAGGATTTTATGTATTTCCAAGTGCTATAAACAATTCTTAAGAAAAGTGATGTATAGATTTATCCACATTTAATAATGATTTTCAGTATTTATTACATGATAAAGTCTGAGTCTAAACTGAAATGTATGTGTAATAATGACCTGAATAAGTTAAAAAGTAGAGTATGCATATGCTAAATGAATCGACCATGCTGTCTGAAAAATAGTTTAAAATTAAAAAAAAAAATTCTCCACCTTTGGTACCAGAAATCTTGTTCATCTTTTACATGTACCCAGTGAGTCACAAATTAATTTTCCCTTCTTTTTGAAGGTGCTGCCATACTAATTTCGCTATCATTTGACTGCTATTTAAACACTTAGAGCAGATTCTGCTATTACATAAATTTTAGGATACTTGGCCAAGGCTTATAGTTATAGGAAGTCACACATTCAAGGAAGAGCACAAAATGATGTGGGAAACCACTGTTGCTAATTCTGTGTCAGATAGACAGAAATCAGAAGGAATTATACAGATAACTCAAGAGGAGAAGTCACACTTTCTTAACCTCTGTTGGCCTTCATTTTGGGCTGTCATGAACTGACAAGCGCCTATATTTTTGAAGCTCTAACAGGTGTATATAACTTTATGGAGTCTCTGGGCCACACTGGAAGAAGAAGAGTTGTTTTGGGCCACACATTAAATACATTGTAACATGTAATCACAAAAATAATATCATAATGTTTAAGTAAATTTATGATTTGGGGCTGCTTTTATAGCCATCCTGAACCACATGAGGCCTGTGGGCTGCAGGTTGAACACCCCTGCTCTAGAAGTTATTTTAAAATATAAAATACATATGAAATTGTTCAAATGTACCTGTTTATTTATAGAAAAACCATAACTTTTTGCCTAGTCTATGACAAAAGCCATACTCTATATTTAGCAAATATATGATATACAGTATAATTACCTAGCAGCAAGAGTAAAAATTTTCTCTGGAAAACTTTTCAAAAAATCAGATTCAAGCATCTAATAGACCTATGAGACCAAGATAACAGAGACATCAATGATGTCTAGGAAACTACCCAGAGTTCTTCTGGGTGTGTTAGCTGTCTAGCATGTAGAATTTGAGGCAGCTTGGGGATCTCTTACAGCAGAATTTTTCAAAGAATATGTGTATTAAACCAGCATGGTCCTTCAACCATGGTCAGTAGGCCAGCATTGGGCCAGTAATGCTTGTTGTTGGCCTATAACTAGATCAGTGTGGAAATTGAAAGTATTTAGAAATCTTTAGAGAAATTTGACAGAGGATGTCATCCAAATATGTGATCATTTCTCTAATTAATTGTTATTGTATTTTACAAAAGCATTGCTCTGTGATGGATTAAAATGTTCTTTTTTTTTTATTTTAATTTATTTTTTTCAGATACATTTGTCTCTGCCAACCCCCCACCACTTTCCCTTGCCCCCTCCCTCCTTTCCTCCCTCAGCTCTTCCCCTTTGGTTTTGTCCATGAGTCCTTGCTATATGTTCCTTGACTTTCCCCTTCCCTTCCTTGTCCCCACCGTCCCCCCTCCTTCCCTCTTGTCTCTGTTAAATGGGCTTTCACCACAGACAGTTTAGGAGTGCTTGTTAAAAATTCAGTTTCCTGGACCCCAACATAAGTCAATGGGATCCAAATCTCTGGGAATGGGAACAAATCCCAGGAATCTGCATTTTAATAAGCTACCCAAGTCAATCATTTCAGGCTGAAGTTTGAGAACTGCTTTAGGAGGAAGAATAACAAACTGACTAACATATTTCTTAAGTATAATATTAACTTGTGAAGGCTATCCACTTTAAGAACCAGAGTTTCAAAGAACACAGCTCATATGCAATTGACTACAGTCCCCATGGAAGGTATCTAGGTACAGTTCCGCTGCTAGTTTATGAGATGCCTTTGTGCCAGACACCCTTGAAGCCTCTTCACTGCCATCTGCAGGCAAATGGTAATGTAGTGGTGGGTAATGTGCAGGACTTGACCCATCCTAAGATCCTTGTGACCTCCTTTTGCAGAACTGGCACAGCCACACGCAAGATCCAGAGGAGGGAGAGCTGTCACTGCTGGGCCATGACAAAGAACTTGTTACATAGCTCTTATTAGGAAACCTGAAGCCATTCTCCCTCCACAGAACAGATCCTGTGCCCCTCATGGAGAAAGAATATACATATCACAGGGCTTCTTGTTTGGGACTGGGAATAAAAGGAGAATTTAATTCTCCCTGGACACTTAACTTTCTCATTCACTGTGTCAGTTCTTTATAGATGATTTTGTGAGAAATAGAAAAAATGTTCATAGAGTAGTAATTGCTTCTCCGAGGAAGAGACTTCTTTTTAGCCTGTGCTGCATGCTCAGGTGCCCATTCTCCATGCGACTTCAGGGAAAAGGGGCTGTCCTTGGTGGTTCTCTCTGGGCTCTATCTGAATCACTATCACATTTGGCCAGCCCAAGGAAGGGGTCATAGCTAGGCAGTAGGTCAGCGATGGAAAAGGAGGAGGAATGGAGAGGAACTGATCAATAACTGGAGGTTTTGACAGTGGCTCTTGAGAACAACTTTACTTCATATATTTGAACAGAATAATCTCTTAGTGAGGAATATGCTTTACTCTTAGCCACAATGCTATATCATGGCTGTCAGTCACATTTTCAGGATACCATTGTCATCTCTGGAGCAACTCCCCTTCTCCTGCCTCCCTTCCACCCCTTGTCTTCCAGGCCACCCTTTTAGGGTCAGGCCTCTCCTCCCTTGGGCAAGCTTTCTGGATCTCCTGTGCAAAATAAGGCTCCTCTCTCCTAGGCCCCTTTCTCTTCCCTCTTGGTGTCCCTCATGCAGGACTTTATCTGGTTGCAGGATTTTCATGATGCAACATGGTTGATTAATTAGAAAAATGATTGTCCTCTGCAGACAAATATTGCCTATAACAGAAAATAACATGTGACTTTGTTTTTCCATATAAGGGATACCTTTTTAATTAAAGAGATGTGCACCTTTTTTTAATGTTTAAAGGATGTAAACAAGGTGGTGCTAGGAAGAGAAAGCCCATTAGCCTAGATCACAAACTAGATTTGCTCAATGATGGTTAGGTTTTATAGCTGTCTATTTAAAACATTAAAATAAAGCAATTAAAGTAACTTTAATACAGTTCCAGTGAGAAAAATAATTTTGTTAATATGAATCTTCAACTCCGTGTTTACAACTCCATTTCTTTTCATTCAGACAACTGTTATACTTAATTTATAGTCAAGCAGTTATTTTATAATCAACATTCATAACGTGTTTCTTAGCAAGACAGCAGTTCTACTATTGCAAATCAGATGGGACCTGAGTGTAGAATGTGATGCATGATTTTCTAACTTGGGGGATGCAAATCTGTCACTCACTAGATTGCAGGCCTTTAAGTTAAGTAACTTTGTCTTTTATTTTCTGTCCCACAGTAATCAACTGAACAAGTACATATATGCTAGTATTAGACCTTAATGTGCCCCACGCCCCTTGAACCAGTACACCCACTTCCTGGAAGTTGAAACCCTGCAGCTATAAAGATAAGAGTGCAGAGCAACTCTTATCTTTAAGAGTGTAATAGTGAAGGGGTTTTGCCACTGTCATTGTCCACCCCCACCCTCCCAACATTCCCCTCCCACTTGGAGTTCATCAGGTTCTGCTTTTGTCTCCATGTCAGGAATCCTCGTCATGATGTCCTTGTGCAGTGAAGTGCACGTGTATGAATACATCCCATCCATCAGGCAGACGGAGCTCTGCCACTACCACGAGCCGTACTACGACGCGGCTTGCACGCTGGGGGCGTACCACCCGCTGCTCTACGAGAAGCTGCTAGTGCAGCGCCTAAACACGGGTGCCGGGATGGACCTGCGCCGAAAGGGGAAGGTGGTCCTGCCGGGGCTCCGGGCTGTGCACTGCCCCACCCCCAATTCATGAAAAGGGACTCTTGGGAACCAATGTGCAATAAGGTACTACTGTTGTGCTCTAAGTCACAAAACAATACTTGAAGATATATTTTAGAAAATGTAGTCTTGAGTCTTTAAACTGCAATTTAAACTGACCATCACTATGGCCACAAGAATTCTCTAAGCCATTGAGTATTTATTACTGTTTTGAATACAATAATGGAATTAAAAGGAAAAGAGATCAAGAAAAATGGAAAAAAGAAAAAATAGCTGAAAAGAAGGAAAATATGTAACAAAAATGTTAAGCTTTTCTTATGGCACAGCACTGCTTATTAAGGTCGGTTTCAGTGTTAACATCTAATATTAAGAAATGGTTTATACCACAAAACACTGATGTTGAGATATGGTATAACATCTAGTGTGTCACTTGTATGGGCATTCATGATTAACGAGTCTAGAGTTTATGATGAATGTCTGAATTATCACTCAGATGTAGTCATTTTAACAGCAAAAATCTTTAGGATATCCTGTCAGGTGCTTGTGTTTCCAAACTGTTCCATTCACCATCTGTGCTTCCTATTGCCCACTGAACTAATTTGCTCTGTGTATCAGGACATTTTTCTAAAATCATAGAGCACTCATGGTGCACAGTCTAAGAACAAGCCAACTCTAAACTAGCACCTCTGATGGGACACTTGGTTTTTCTGCAGTATATCCTTACTCAACTAGGAGTATCACCCAGATGGAAAGCAATATCATTGGCAAGTAACACAATCACGAGGCTACAGCATGGCCCTGAGCAAGATGATTCTGGCTCCAGCATTCCCACCTTGTCCCTTTTCACCTGCCAGTCTTCTCCATAGCCTTCATAGTTATACAAACTGACAAGGACAACATACCTGTGAGAGTGGGCTCCTTCCAGTCCAGGAGGAAAGATTGGAGAGCAGTAACGCTATGCTTCTGGGGATGCACACCTATGTCTTTTATAAGGATTTCTTGCAGGTTAATATCAGCTATTGGAAACCAGACATTAATTCCAGTTGGACATTTAGGAATCCCATCCTTGTTTTCACAGATATGTTTTTTGTCAGCAACATAACAAAGCCATATAATTAAAATTGTGTGAAACCATGGCTCTTTAACAACAAGGACAATATGTATCTGCTTCAGAGGAAGAGGCAGCTAGAGGGAAAATTGTCATCCCAATGCATTAGCTATATATAGTTTTAGGGGTTTTTTTAATCTTAATTTTTGTCACTGATATATTGAAAAAAATTTGATATGAACATAGTGAAAACAGAAACATTTGAAATAACTTAATTGAACATGGTATTATTTCAATATATAACCAAAACATATTTCAGTGGTCTGGTTAACACTTCTTTGCAATGCGTGAATGTCAGAAGAGTTTATGGAAAGTATTTTTGGTCCAGGATTGTTTTTTTTCCTGAGTTCTCTAAGGAATCCTTTCTTGAGCAAGAGTGATTTACACAAACTAACAGTTATTTGGTTAGTCTATGCAGCAGAAATCCAGTAGGATAACAGACATCTCCTGTGGCTTATTGTAATAGTGAAGTAGAAGTAATTTAAAAAGCTTTTAACATGACGGTGTCCACTAAAAGCCCATTTTAGAGAGCTTTGTTTCTAGATCTATGAGAAGGGATGGATAATTTTGTCCTATACATTAGCTTATGTCTGAGCAGATGTGGTCAAGCCACTTTTTTTTCTTATTTCCTGAAAGAGCTTAGCCTTGTCCCCATGTTTAGTGGGTAATGAGTTCAGTGATCCTGGATTCTGGTGAGGTAGCTGTGGTATGGGGTGAGCACTCCGCTTGCAGTTCTATTTCTCCCTGCACCTTCCAGGCTCTGCCTTCAAATGCCCATGGCATTGAAGTTTCTTTGGTAGTCACCCTAGTGGATTCTTTTACCACGTCCTTATCAGCCAGGACAGCCTCCTTTGGTGACATTAGAAATTGGTTCGAGGAAAATTTATTGGGGTCAGTGTAAACATTCAAGTTCAAAATCCTAGAAAACACTTCAAAGATTTTTAAATTGCATGCTGTAATGCATATACTTTTAAAAAGTACTTTCAGTATCACTGAAATTATAAGAAATACTGAATAAGATAAAGAAAAACTAATTAAAATTTTTGAATTTGTTATGGTCTTAAAGACTCTTGGGAATCAGGATTTTTTAAACATTCCAAAATTATGGCACACATATTAATATAGCATGGGCTGAGCACTCTTCTGTTTAAAACTTTAAACTGTTTAGCCTGTCAAAGTATTAGGCAGTTAGAGTTAATATGATGACAGCTTTGAGGATTAGCCAAGTTTGGCCAGACATTAATTAAGTCCTAATACGCTACGTATGCTGAACTACAGTAAACACACAGGCCTTTTGTGGCATAGTTAATAATAAATGGTGCCCCACTGCATTTCTTTGAGGCTCTGCCCCTTCTAATACCCTTCCTCTTCTTCTGTGAAGGGACACTGATGAAGTCCTTATGGTGCATCCTGAAGCCATTAGGGGTCCCATTTCTTTACTCAGGACTGAGAAAGGTCACATTGCTGTATATTTCAAGGTAATTTCTCTTGATCATTTTTTTGTTGTTGTTCTCATTGTAATCACAAAGAAATGTTGGCCAAGAATGACCAACCTTCATCTAGATTCTTCCTAACTCCTTTCACTAGTCCCTCCACCATGTGTGAGGGTGAGGTGTACTGGGTTTATGTAGCATTCTCACGGTCCCATGGAATACAGTGCTGGCCCTGTGTATCTGACCTTCCCCATAAGTCCTTACAGGCCTGCTTTTCTAAAGAACTTTGTGCACAGGACCAAGATGTGCTCAATCAAAAGTTGCATGTGAGCATTAGGCAACACCAGGCATATGTATTAAAATGGACCTTATGAGGGATTTTCCCACATCTTTCAATTACTGGGTCTCTTTCTTGTCTGCCTGGACACAGCTCAAGGAACCCAGAGTCAGCACCAGCACCTCCTGTGTGTCCCAGACAGATTGTTGATACTGGACTCTCTGGTAATCATGTGTCCCCATAGCCATAGCATCTGGACAAAACAATAATGAAATAATCATTAGCATTTTCAAAACTGGGAAATAAAAGTAGATGAAGCAACCACAGGGTCCCTTTGTTACATGTTTGTGAGCCAGGTCATTCTGGTGGAACAGATTAATACCTTCTGTTGTGGGTGACAGCACTTCCATCCACTGAACTAATTAGGTCCAGTTGGACCACATTAGGTGGGATCAATCTCACATATCATGAGATAGAAGAATTTAGTGTGTACAAATGACATGATTCAAGTTCTCTCTCCAGCCTTTCTTAGAGATCATGGCATAGTGCATGTTTGTGGCTGGTGGCCAGAGTGACCTGGTCTCATTTCTGCTTAGCTGTGGGAAGAAATAGGGAAAGGAAGTGGGAGAATTATTGTGTAATACAAGACTAAATATATAGGCCAAACAGTCTAAGAATACATTCTATAATATTATCTGTTTTGACTTCTCGCTTTCTGATAATTTAGAAATCTACCCAGTGGTTATATAGCTGATGAAGTTACCTACATTTGCAAATGAATTGCTTACATAAAATGTGCCTGAGTTCAAATTTGTGTTTTATACTCTGGATATTTCCATTGTGAAAATATTCTGCATGTTTCTGTCACTGGGACTTAGTCTTCACAATTGGTAAATGAAAGGTATTTCTCTGTCAATTCAAGGATAAAATATAAGTGCTGATTCTTGTTTTATTAAATGAATGAAGACTTTTAGTAAGAAAACATAATGCAGCATATTCCTCTACAAGTTTAGACTATTAGAATTTAAAGAGTTAAAAACATTGATATAGTTCTTACTCTTGTTATAGAAAGTGTGCATATAGATAGTTATATAATTGTATATACATATATCTATACACATGGTTGATTTTTTTATTGTCTTTTTCTAACAAACTTTATTTCTGAAACCTTTATGATACACTTTATTTTAATTATTAAAAAACACCAATTTTTAAGAGAAAGAAGTACCATGTTTTGCCATGTATAATGCACACCCATATTTCTGCCCCAAACTTTCAGGAAAAAAATCTTTCATTTTAACTTTTTAATTCAACTTGGTATTTATTGATTTTAACATACTTGTTTTTTATATTATAAAGAAATTTTAGCATTTATTTTTGAACATATGGATGTTATTACTTTCTAGGATTACACTTTTAATGCATAAGCATAAATAAAAAATTAAAAAACATTTATATAAATACAGAATTAGTACTAACCCATGTATAATGAGCATCCTTATTTTTCCCTCAAAAATTTAGGCAAAAAAGAAAAGTACACATTGTACATGGCAAAATACAGTAAATGTTATATGTCCTTCTGTTAAAAAATATTTAGTCTTCCACTTGCTCATATTTTACACGTCTTGGTTGCATTAAAAAGTATATCAGACATATTTAAAAGTCACTATGAAGGTGGACCCACTACCTGAAGATGGCCTAATTGCACTCTAAAGTTTGATGAGAAGTTTATAGCTCATGGCTTTTACAAGATTAGGGGAAGAAACATTTATTGGTTCTATGGAAAAGAGTCCTCTTACTAGGTAGGTTTCAAGCAAATTAACTGCATTGGTAGCATTAAGACCTAACATTTATAATATCACACATCCTGTTTTATCCTAGATAAAAATACTTATAAGTTTTTTCCAGTAGAAACCAGTGAACTTTTTAAACAGCTTTGGGAATTTTTTTGTATGATAATTTTTTAAATGAAATGTGTACTATTCAAACTAATTAAGGCTTGAGGTTTTCCAAGAGTCACATTTTAAAAGTGTTTGTACACATTTTAACATTTTTATATTTTCTATTTTGGTTTTGTATATTTTATGTATATATAGTGAATAGGCTTTTTATTATAAATAAAACACGTCTTCATTTATCTAAACTTTTCTCTGTTTTAATTTGTAGAAGTTGCACATACAGATAAGTGAGTAGCAAAATAATGAGCACCCCTAGAA